TATTACAGGGGATCCCTCTCCCCATTCATGAATAACCCAGTATGAGCTGCAGTCATATCCCGGGGCGGGGGGGAGGACATCTAAGACTTGATCCCTAAACGGCCCTATAGAAACTGCAGGGTCAAAGGATATCTGGTGGCCTGATGCTGACAAGTTTACGGAAACATATAACCTAGAATTTTGTCTGTGGCTAGTACACCTTTCAGATAAGGAATGGAGGGTTCACCTGAGGGGCAAGACCTGGAACTTGAGCACAGAGGTCTGTATTGTAGACAGTTCTCCATCTGCTTGTCAGTCAGTGTAAACGCTGTGTGTCCGAGACTACAGGAGTCTAGTCTAACTTCCACCAACCTCTCATAGCTGGTGACTCCTCCCTGTGAAAAAGAAATCTAATAGTTGGCCACGGCCAAACTGCCGAGATCCAGCACATGTCTGTATTGACGTGCAAAATTTTATCAAGCACAGACAAGATGAAAGTCGTCTATTAAACCAATGGATGGACAAGGTGATGATGTGGGCATGAGAAGGATTTCCTTCTGCTTTGGCCAGAGGCACCCCTGGAACCATCTCAGTCGCCTGGGTCACTGAGAAACAAGCAGGACCCAACCGTGCACTGATTCAGCACGTCCGGTCAGCTTCTATTTACTCGGCAATTAAAATCAACCTCAGGAGGTGGTCTGAGGAGCTCCGGGAGCAGTGCCATGGATGGTGGAGAGCCATCTCAACAGGTGAGTAACGTCAAGAGCTTTCTACAGTTTCTGTCCTATGGTGTCAGAAGCTAAAACAAGAAGCGCGCTCTCCACTCCCGTGCAAATGTGATGTGGCCATATTTCCTGCACTCAAGCTACCGGTCCACATTTCCTAGGCCTCCAGGCAAGGACATCCATGCAACGGCACTACTGAGGAGCTCCCGCCTAATCTTCACTGGAAGTCCTTCATCTGCAACAGGTGAACACATTGAAAACCATGTATCAAGTGAAGACTAATGGATACATTTCCATAAAAGGCCTCTATGCAATGAACGTGCTCAATGAAAACCATCTGCTTATGGCCTGGTAACAGTATCTGGCAGTGCGTATCTGTGTGAAAAGGCATTTTCAAAGGAAAACACCTAAAATTTTATTGTACATCTACCTCAGTAAAGTTTGATGATGGGAACACTCAATTTGAACCCCAAGTAATGTGAAAAGTTATTCCTTTCCCAAAAATAGAATCCCGTTCTTCTAATTAGACTTATATTGGGAAACACACACACACACACACACACACACACAAAACAACAACAACAACAACAAAAACTGCACTCAACTTTGTGTCCATAAAAAATTTTGTAAAAAATGTCTTTTTTTTCTCTTTAGGTCATTACCTACATATCTTGATTTGCCTCCTGGTTCACAAAACGTGAAATAGTTACTATTTGATTCATTACAGAAAAAAATCATTAACCCACCCCAAGTGGATTATATTTAAAAATGAAGTTAGATCTGTTACTCTGTTGATACCAATATGGAATGATCTGTTATTTAGAAAAAGCAAATCTTAAGGGGTGCTTGGGTGGCTTAGTCGGTTAAGCACCCGACTCTTGATTTCAGGGTTGTGAGATGGAGCCATGTCGGGTCCGTCTTGAGCGTGGAGCCTGCTTAAGATTCTCTCTCCCTCTCCCTGTGCCCCTAACCCAAGTCTTTCTTTCTCCCTAAAACAAATAAGCAAATCTTAGTAAGATAATATAATCCTGTATATGCAATAAAATCACCTTGAAACAGGTACTTGCACTGTTGTGCACGCATGCGCGCGCACACACACACATGCACGCACACACGCACGCAGTGCCTGGAAGGAAATGGAAGCACCATTTCTAGCAGACACTCTGGTTTGTTCTCCATGAAGCATCCCAGGTGACACAGAAATCAAACCTGGCGACTCCCCTCCGTAAAAAACAAAAAAACAAAACAACAACAACAAAAAAAAAAAACAGTGGTTTCTCATCACATGTAAAAGGAGAACCAGGGACGCCTGGGTGGCTCAGTGGGTTAAGCCGCTGCCTTCGGCTCAGGTCATGATCCCAGCGTCCTAGGATCGAGTCCCACATCGGGCTCCTTGCTCGGCAGGGAGCCTGCTTCTCCCTCTGCCTCTGCCTGCCACTCTACCTGCTTGTGCTCACTCTCGCGCTCTCTCTCTCTCTCTCTCTCTGACAAATAAATAAATAAAATCTTAAAAAAAAAAAAAAAAAAAAGGAGAACCAAACCACTCCAAGTCTTGTCAGGTACTCGAGCCCTGGGGTCTGGCTCCTGGCTGCTTTTCTAACTCAGTTGTCCCCAGCCTCCCTTCAGCCCAGTGAGAGACAGCCTCAGCGGCCTCGGCGCAGCTCCTGCAAGCATTTTCCGCAGGACCTTTGGACGCGCCGTTTCCTCAGGCTGGAACATGATTCGAGCAGTCATAGGGCTCCCTTCTGCCCGGTGCCAGGCCTGAGATCTACGGTCACCCCCGCTGACTGCATAGCTGTGGTTCTGTGTGTCACACGGCTCGTGAACTGACAGTCACAGTCACCTTCAACTACTGTGCCTTCCTCACTAGGCGTGACATCTTTGAGGGACACACCTGGTCCCTCCTCTGCCATCTCCCTGCAAGCCAAACAGGTGCCCAGGACACAGCACGTGTCAGGGGGACCAACAGGAGGTAAGCCAGCAGGAGGACGGGAAAATTTCCTCTCTTTAGCAACTTCTGTTAGTGAGCATGGATTTGCATATTGTTTATAAAATGAGAGTTTATTTTATTTTATTTTTTTTTTATTTATTTATTTGACAGACAGATCACAAGTAGAGAGAGGTGGAAGCAGGCTCCCTGCAGAGCACAGAGCCCGATGTGGGGCTCGATCCCAGGACACTAGGACCATGACCTGAGCCGAAGGCAGAGGCTTTAACCCACTGAGCCACCCAGGTGCCCCTAAAATGAGAGTTTAAAAAGAAAAAAATTACTGGTAAATTTGATTTCAGAGATTATTTTTTTTTTAAAATTGAGTTTCTCCCTCTACTCCTGTTCTATTTATTAGTGAATCTCTGTAACTCGTTCTTGTGACCTTAACTGCATCCTACCCACCTCAGAGCGACAAGTGCAATGAGTACAAGTTGAACTGAAACAGGACTGAAAGCAGAAACTGAGAAAGGACTTTTATTTCACCACAGAAGATCTGGAGGTGTCACGTGATGAACAGGGTACTTTTACCGCTCCCCATCTCCGGCACATCCGATTGTCTAAAGGAAGCTGCTGGCTCTACGCCTCTCTCGGAGGCAGACTACCAGACAGAGGTGGGATACCAGCTGCGCTGATCGTAGACAATCTGGAACACCAGGGGGCCTTGATTTTATCACGCTAAAACAAAGGCATCAGATTTAGGCTAGACAATATATATGTCTCTCCTGCCCTAAAATGCAATGATCTTCTGTCTCTGTGGAATGACATAAAACAAGGCAACTCTAAAACATATCTTTGTATTAGACCACACAGAATGTCTGTTCCATCTGAGTAAAATTTAGTGCCTGCAGGGCCTGAGCTGCACCCCACTGCATGATAGCCCCCACCATGTGATGCAGAAATCTGAAGTCTCCCAGAAGGCCCAGTGCCAGCCCCTCATGGTCCTCCACGTGCCCCAGACCCCCGGGGTCCATGGACATGGGGCCGAGTCCTAGAACATCCTGCTTCCACGGAGAGCTGCACTCTTTCTTAACAACATTGGGGTTACAGGGTGCACCACACTGTCTGAAACCAGACTTTTCTCACTTAATTTATATTTATACACCATTAAATATTATTCAGAGGCTTTAAAAATAAACAAGATAAAAACTGAGAAAAAAGAGAATGTAAGCTTTAAGAACAGGATATTCTTAAATACCAAAACAATTCTATGTATCTACTGATTTATATTAGAGTCAACATGATTTTAAAATAAGTATTTTGAAAATACATACTAAGCCTAACCCTACATAAAATATAGTTTGTCAAATTTTATATATTTTCAGAAAGCTAAGATATAAAAAATAAGGTTAAAAACATACAAAATTAATTCTTCTGTGAGACTATTTTAGGGAATTTATACCCAAGGAAAAGATACACATCACAGATTATTTCCACACCCATAACTTTTCTATCTTGAAAAGGGAGGTTAAAATCATGGTGAGAACAGATAAATAGCGAAGAATAAAGTGGGTTTTACAAAAATTTTAACCTAATCTTTGGGTAAAGATGGCTAAAGTTCAAGATTTCATCACTTTTGACTGCTGACATTTTTTTTGTGCTTGTAATCAGAGAGTGTGCAATGTTTTCTACTGTTGCTACTTTTGATATAATTACTACAATTACAGAATTCGTTATGATGGTCACAATTAAATTACACACAGGAGAAAATCTATTTAAGTGATATGCTTAAAGCAAAATAACTAGAAGCCAAACAAGGCCTGTTATAATGAACTTCTTATCCTGAGCAAAGATTTTTTTTTTTCTTTATAACTAACATTGACCAAAGTTTCTTCAAAATAAATACTGATACTGTATTTCCACATTTACTGTTTTGTACGTTCTCTTTTCTTGGTGGAATCAATGCCTACACTGCCTTCATCTCCCTTCTAAAGAAACAGCCTCAAGCCCTCTAGCAGAACGCCTCCATGCACGAGGTCATGCATCTAAGAGGCCCCAGAGACAAGGACGTGTCCGCTCCAGTCGACTCTTCCCGGTATGCATCACTTGCTCTCAGCATCTGCGCAGAAAGGCTTGGGAGAGACGCATTCTTAACAGCAGATTTGACCCAAGCACTTAGAAATTCCAGAGCGGTAAGCCACCTATCCCTACAGAATGCATCAATGGAAAGTATCACACACACATTCTTTAAAATTAAAAAAGGAAAAACGGAACTATTTTAATTATGGGAAGGTGGTAATGACATTCCAAAAGGGACGCACCAGCACACATCCCTGCAACAAAGGAACTTGTAAAGGAGGTTCACATACTTCCATCGCATCCACTGGATGGCTGTTCCTCTGCTTCTGTAGCTTTGTCCACAGTACAATCAGCCACTAAATCAAGCTCATGGTCACGCTGCATTTCACCGCCAGAGGAGTTCCACATTCGAGAAGTGCTATCCTCTTTCTGTCCACTTCTCACATCCAGCAATTCTTGCATTTCTACGCTGCTCCCTTCCAGAGGAGTGAAATCGCCTTGAAGTCCCTCCCCTCCACGCCCCTGTGGCACAGCGGGCTCACCAGCCACGTGAGAGCGGCATCTCCCACCTGCGTGCGGGCCTGCTCTTCTGTGGGCACCAGCCTGTTGACAAGGGCCTGGGGTTCCTTCGGCAGCACACGTTCCCTCCGAGGTCAGGCAAGCCCACATCGCGTCTGCTGCTTCTTGTGGCGGTTTCTCGAGACTGGAGCTCGTTTTTGCTGTTACATCGGTCATGTCGACGGACCTGGGATTTTTACCAATGCAGGAGAAGTCAGCCGTGTGCAGTATGTTTCTTCTCTCCGTCTGGGAAAGACCACCGCCGCGGCTGAACTGAGCCAGGCCTGCAGATGGCTGAAATCCGGGAAGAAGAGCCTCTGAACTCCTTTCCCTAAGGTTATCAGGTGAGAAGTAATCATCGTACGAGGACACCCCGCAGCCCGCAGTCTCGCCAGCAGGCCCAGCCGGGAGCGGCAGGGGGTGCCCCGACGTCCACAGCCGCACCCGTGGCCTGCCAGGCTGCCCACCGCACCTCTTCTTCTTCAGTCTTTCTTCGGGGGGAGCCCCCGAGCTCTCCGACCTTCTTTTTCTCTTGGCTGAGGAGCTCTCAGATCGTGAATGTCCCGAAGGGCGGCATTTGGTTGCAGATAACATAGGAGACAAGCTGCGTTTCTCGTCAAACACCATTCCGGCCGCTCCCTCGGACTGCTGCTTGTGGGGGGTGACCACCTCACCCGCGGGATCTCCTTGCCTACGAGTCTTTTCTTTGGAAGGACTACCCATGGGCTTCTGAGGCGTTAACGGGTGGAGGTAACCAGGAGATGCTGAAGAACGGATGCTCCTTGTCTTCAGCGCAGGCGAAGAAACACACACACTTTCAACTTCATCCACAATTCCTCCCAGTGTCGCTTTCTGACTTCCACTTCTCACCTTTCCACAAAGATCGTCAAAAGATGAGTTCAGGTCACCAGCAAAGGATTCATCTGGAAAGTATTAATGAAGAATTAACTTTTTAAATGGTTTCAATTATTATACAAGTAACTTCTGGTTAACCGACAAAGCCATACTTCTTAAACACAGCTATTGGTTAAAAAGAGCACTGACCGCATCCTGGTTACTCTCATTTCCACCTGAGGACACCTGTCGGGCCAGCATTTCTCACTAAGGAACCCGGCATCGAGGGGAGAGCACGGGGGCTGTGGGGAGCTCACCTTCTGAGCAAGCGTTCCTACACATGTGCGCTCTCTTCCAGGAAGAGCATCCACACTCTGTCACTACATTCTCAGGAGGTCAATAATTCTAAAAGGAAAGAACTAATGCTACCAACTACGTCAAGTTCTAGCCTTCCACAAGTCCTAGCCCACGTGACTCCCCTATTCTCCATGCAGGTCCTCACACCGCATTTATACTCAAAAGCGAACCATCCGGGAGAACTTCAGGTTTGGACTGCCCACATTTTATGTATTTCTTGAGAATACTGCTGGGCTGCCACCCATCGCCGGAAAGCTACACACATGTCTCTACCTCCAGGCCTTGCCTTCACTCCACACTTTAATCTGGATCAGTTCTACTCAAAACCCACCTTGGATGTCAAAACTCTCTGAATCTTCCCACTCACCGGGTCTAGTTACACACATCCTCTTCCATTACACAGAACTCTGCCTCAAGTTCCCAAAAGCATGCGTCCTAGTATTATTAGTATTTCTATCTGTCCCTCTCACTAGGCTAGATGGTCCCAGCGCACAGGCACTATTTTCTGGAATCTGAGGCCTCTAACCCAAAACTACTACAGGCTCTCCTTCTGAAGAAGAACGGAGGTAACCAGCAGGGAGCAGAGGGAAGCCCCTGGTGGGAGCGGCAATGACCCCACACCAAGTCATGGAGCGTGTCAAGTGAGGCACTAGAAATACAAGACACGTTTAGCGTGAGCAGCTGCATAAGTTTCGCACACTTCTCAAGAAGCTGGCAAGCAAGTGTGCTGTCATGAAGCAGCAATTCTGAGGTCAGGCTGTCTAATTTCAAATCCCAGGCTGGCCGCTCACAAACAATGTCAACTTCTGCAAGCTGTTTCACCTCTCTGGCCTAGTTTTCTCACGGACACAATGGGGGTGACAATGGTAGTGAGAGAATTAAATGAGGTACAGTACATAAGACACAAAGACCAGTGCCCAAGACGGGAAAAATGAAATCTGTGGTAGTTACTACCACTCGTGTCAAACTTACATAAAATAAGTGCATCAGGTAAAAAATAAAAAGACGAAGATTATTTAAGACAGATAGGTAAACAGTTTCCAATACACAACAAAGAGATTGTTAAGAATAAGCCACACTTGAACAGGAAGCTGCGATTTAAACTCTTGACACCTTCCTACCATTTGTCATCTGTCACTGCTGTGGCTTTCAGATCTATGCTACTACCTATGTGGGCCCTTCTACAGGTGAAACTGAGTGGTCGTAGCACATTTCTCAAATGTACTCAAAAGAAAGCTATATAAGCAGGAAAAAATATCACTCGAACTGAAACTAGGGCTCCCACATTTAAAATGTATATATAATATAAAACCCTAATTTTATTCTTTCCAGTGCTCTGCTTCTAGACAGAAACCCTGCCAGTTATCTTCTACATCTCTACACACCTTACTGACCCTCTCAGTCACGTGTTCCATTCTGTCTTTACCCATGGTGTGAAAGCAGCAGCTCTCAAACTGTTCTCAGTAATACAGTCTATAGCATGTAATTTAGTACACAGAACATGACTTTTTTTTTTTTTTTTTTTTCAAATGAGCAATTGAGTCTGTGCCAAGAAAGCAAATGCCTAGGAGAAAAACTACAGGGGCCAAAAAGGAGGTTTAAATCATGCAATTTCTCATGCCCTAATTGTATTATAATACCTATTTTTTATTTTAATATCTAATTTCATGAATTCTAGTTTTTAACCAACTGTTCTTGATATCAGAAGAAACTCCAAATAAGAAATTCATCATATTCTCACAGTTTAAATTTACCACAAAAAAGAAAAAAATTTTACCTGAGCACAATGTGTCATGTGAAATGTTCCAAGAAGCTTCACCTGGGGAGTTGGCTTGGTTATCAAGGGACTTTTCAAGCATCTGTGAAGCTGAAAACATAATCGCACACTTCATCAGACACAATTCTGACACGCTAGTAGATGAAGCCCATGGTAAGCCTCCTCATTCTGGTTTTCCCCACACATATCTACACCTGGTGCTTCTATCCCAGACCTACTATAAAACAGTAAGCACAAAAAACGTACTCAAATCTATTCCAGATGGTGAGATTCATAAAAAATAATCTACACATATCAGGTTATAAAAAGGATTAAATCAGAGGATAATTAAGGTTAGAAGAGCTTTTGAGGGGTGCCTGGGTGGCTCAGTCAGTTAAAGCACCTGACTCTGGGTTTCAGCTCAGATCATGATCTCAGGGTCCTGGGATCAAGCCCCAGGTCAGACTCTATGCTCAGTGGGACATCTGCTTCTCTCTCCGCTCCTCAGCCTCCCACCCCACTCATGCTTGCTCACTCTCTTTTAAATAAATAAAATCTTTTAAAAAAATTTTTTAAGATAATAGAAATAAAGAAAAACAAAAACCAATGCATGAGATACTTAGTCTAATGTAGATTCCCTCAAAAGAAGAGCCTGATTTATTTTTTTAAAAAAGAAAACATCCCAGGGGTGCCTGAGTGGATCAGTGGGTTAAAAAGCCTCTGCCTTCAGCTCAGGTCATGATCCCAGAGTCCTGGGATCGAGCCCCACATCAGGCTCTCTGCTCAGCGGGGAGCCTGCTTCCTCCTCTCTCTCTCTGCCTACTTGTGATCTCTGTCAAATAAATAAATAAAATCTTTAAAAAAAAAAAAGGAAAAAAAAAATCCCAAAGATATTAAAAATTACAAAGGGGCTATAAAAAAATAGGATTCTCAACCTATACATACAAAAACTACGCATCCAATATGTGCTTAAAATATATGTTTTAAAACTATAAACTCAATATAGGCTTTAAAAATCTCAATGATGTGTAAGATTTTCTGGAAGAAAATATTAACAAACTGTACCCAGATGTAGACAAAAATCTGTTAATCTGTTGATTTGTTAAGACAAAAATATGTAAAGAGAAAAAAACCTTTCCACCACAATTCACTGACCAAGCAATTTGCCTCATTTTCACTTTATAAAACATGAGCACTTACATGTAAGGGAGAGGTTCTCCCTTTTCTCCTTCATCTCCTGTAATCTCCTTTGCATTGCACTACGCTGACCGCTGCACATTTTAATGGTGGGACTATACATCAATGAGCCATTAGATTCAAATAAGAGAACAGGTATATCATTATCTGAAAATAAACAAAAATTTATTTAGCTAAAAAAAAAAAAAAAAAAGGCCAGAAGGTTTAATATAACAATATGATTTCTTTTGAGGAACACCCCCCCACATCCACCCCCCCAGTCTTCCTTGTCCCCTGCAACAACATCACCTACTACTACCAACAGTCTTATCTTCACCCTGTCATCCCCACGAGCACTAACACTGGTGCGGAAACTGTTGGCCAACGTTTGCTGAGAAACGTCCACGCGCCGGGCACTGTGCTAATAATAATAAGCACACTATGTGCACTCTTTCATTCAACCTTTCCCAAACCCAGTACATCAGCTTATCCATCTCCCCATGTAAAGATGAAGAAACCAACACACCAAAGTTAAGTACCTTGTTTATACCCAGGATCATACAACGAGTGAGAAGGTAAAGCTAGAATGCAATTTGGTTCCTAAACGCTGACAAGAGGGGCAGAATGTACCACCCCGAACATGCCACTTTGGCATAAGGATTATTTTGAGCAAAATGCACTTAAATCACAGAAGGTGAAAGAAAGGTGTCAGGATACCCCCCAACCCCTACTCCAAGCTTCTTCCTAAAGGCAGGAAGTACAACTCCCCTTTGAAAGACGCACCCCTCCATATTATCACCAGAGATGGGGAGCTGATGCCAAGAGAATTCTGTAAAACAGATCTTGTTAAAGGAACGCCCACCCTACTTTGGTTCCCCTTATGTCTTACTTTTCCACAACTGCCTCTCCTATTCAACATAAGCACTAAGGTTTTACTTCTTTGGGATTTTATCTCCTATGAGACCCTGCTTGTCACAAAAAACTTATGCTCTTCTCCCATTAATCTGTCTTTTTATAACAAAGCCCCAGCTAGGAACCTAAGATGGGCGCAGAAACAGTTCTGCCTCTAACCGTGTTTACTCTAGGTCTCAGAAACCACTACCACTAGCCAACCCTCTCTGACCCTCAAAAGACATACACATCAACTTTGGGGTCAGGAGTCCATCAGCCATGAAATGATGGCTAAACTGGGTGTGGGTGCACAGCTACGTGTTTCTGAAATCCATACCTCGCATTTGCTCAAGGAGAACTTCAGGGCTCTGACCACCTCCCCTCACCCACCAATAAAAAGACCAAGAATCATTCAGTATCTTCTCCTTTGCAACTCTTAAGCCTGAACAGCTCAAACTACACATCTGCCAATATGCAGATAAGCCCGATTTACGCGTAATACCTTATATTTGTAGTGCTTAAAAAGCAATTTTTACTAAGATATAAATTTAATCCAAAAAGATAAAAATTTTTTTCAGTACCATTTGCCAAATCTTTTTAAATACACCATTACTGGTGTAGGAAGGCCCAAAAAGCAAGAGTATAAAGCTGACAGGAGAGTGGTACAAGGCTGACCTGAGGCTGAAGGGGACACCAGACCACAGAGGGCATGCGGTGCTGGAGGGCATGTCAAACATACGGTTTCATCTGAAATGCTTTTCCTTACGATGACCTGAGGAAGGGGAAGCCCTGGATGGGGTGTGCACCTGACTTGTAGTTTACACCCTTGACTCAAGTAAGCTGACGGATGGTAAAGGACACAGCGCCTCTAGGGCCCAGTCACAGAGCCACTAGGAGGGTTCCCATGGATTGATGCTTAGAGAAAATCAGTGGAGGATCCAAGCAATCATTCAGAAGCAAGGGTAAGGATCGTGGTGCGTAACTGGCATCAGGCAGAAAGGTCAAGAGCTACTCCACGTGTCTGGCCAGAGCAGCAAGGAGACCAGTTAGTGTGAGGCTGTTAGGGAGGGACCAGCATGGCACCAAGAGAAAGAGGCCTGATTATCAGGCACTGGGATGACTCAGCACAAAAACAAAGGATAAAGGCAATGTTTTTTTGGAAGTGATCTGGCAGCACTACCTATACAAGCTAAATGTTCTCATCAATTTTGTTGCATTACCCTGACAGATTTAAAATAAAACTTGATAATTCTGCATGAGAAGTTTCAAAATACAGAGCAGAGAATTCGTGACATGGCAAGAGACACTACAATAAAAAGTGGAGGAATGAATGCTTCTTATTTCTATGCTATGCATTATAAAGTCACCGAAATTGCTTCCATGTACCAATGATGTGCTGGGATTGGGCTGAAACACTGAATTTAGGTAGTGAAGAAGGCAAAAAAGAGAACTACAAAAACCCATATGGTACTTTAGAGTTTCATGATCTTCTAAAGTATTTTTATAAATTAAAAGGGTACATCTAGCAAAAAAAAAAAAAAAAAAATCCAATTTTAAAAATGGGCAGAGGGGGGCACCTGGGTGGCTCAGTGGGTTAAGCCGCTGCCTTCGGCTCGGGTCATGATCTCAGAGTCCTGGGATCGAGCCCCATATCGGGCTTTCTGCTCAGCGGGGAGCCTGCTTCCTCCTCTCTCTCTGCCTGCCTCTCTGCCTGCTTGTGATCTCTCTCTGTCAAATAAATAAATAAAATCTTTAAAAAAAAAAAAAAATGGGCAGAGGATCTAAACAAGACATTTTTCCAAAGAAGACATACAAATAGCCAACAGGTACATAAAAAAGAGTCAGCACCACTCATCACGAGGGAAATGCACATCAAAACCACAATGAGATTCTAACAGTACACTAGAATGATTATTATCAAAAATACCAGAAATAGGGGCACCTGGGTGGCTCAGTGGGTTAAGCCTCTGCCTTTGGTTCAGGTCATGATCTCAGGATCCTGGGATCGAGCCCCACATCGGGCTCTCTGCTCAGGGGGCGCATGTTTCCCTCTCTCTCTCTGCCTGCTGCTCTGCCTACTTGTGATCTCTCTGTCAAATAAATAAATAAAATCTTTAAAAAAAAAAAAAAAGACCAGAAATAACAAGTGTTGGCAAGGAAGCACAGAAAAGGGACTCCTGTGTACCGCTGATGAGAATGTAGATTGGTGGGGCTACTGTAGAAAACTCTACGGAGGTTTCTCAAAAAAATTAAAGATCAAACTTCCCATTAGAGCCAATAATCCCAGTTGTGGGTATTTATTTACCTGAAGGAAATGAAAACACTAAAGAAGAAAAAAGGAAAAGACTGATGCAAAGAGATATCTGACCCCCTCCTGTTCACTGCAACATTATTTACAATTAATCACCAAGACACGGAAACAACCTGCATGTCCATCTACGGATTAATAAAGAAAACGTGATGTGTGCGTGCGCGCGCACGCGCACACACACACACACACACACTTAGAGGAATACTATCCAGCCATAAAAAGAACAAAACTTTGCCATTAGTGACAGCACAGATAGACTGTGAGCACATTACACTGAGTGAAGTAAGTCAGAAAAAGGTAAATACTACACAATGTCACCTGTATGTGGAACCTATAAACAAAACCAGAGAACAAAAACTAAAACAACCAAGCTCATGGGGAGAGAGAACAGACTGGTGGCCATCGGAGGCCCCGGAGTGGGGGATGAGTAAAATGGTTGAAGGGGTTACAGAGGTACGAACTCCCAGTTATAAATGAGTGAGTCAGGAGATGTCATGTACGGCATGGTGCCTACAGCTAGTAACACACATTTCAAAGTAGCCTGGAAACTGGGTCTTAAAAGTTCCATCATAAGAAAAAAATTTTTTGTACATGATACGTATGGTGATAGATGTTAACTGGACTTATGACCATTTCACAACACACACAAACGGCGAATCATTACATCATCCACTGAAACTAATATGTTAGGTCAATTATATTTCAAACAAAAAAAGAATAGAAATGACTCTATGATTAAACACATAAGAACAAAAATTTCCCTATTTTTTTATTCCAGAGAATCAGCCTGTTGCTACCTAGAACTGAAACGTGTAGCTAACTGATCTCCCAAGTTCACTATGTGATTCACAGCCTTGTGCAAAATACAACCATAAACAAGTGATTGTGCCACTGTTCAAGTGCTTTAAGGTTTTACAAGTAATTGAAGACAAAGAAATAAAGTATCTTGAAGCCAACTAATGCCTACACAGAGAAAAAGAAAATACAGAATCTATATAAAATACAAATAATGTCTATGTAAAAGCATCAGGGAACTACTAAAGAGACCAGGACCAGAAGAGTCAGGATTCTGGAGAGGAGGAGCACTGAGAAGCCAGCTGACAAGCAGTGGATGTTATTACCCCCAGGAGGATTGATCATTAAAGCGCCTGGGGCAAGAGGAGGTCCAGTCTCTGACCAGGCAGAGAGCAGTTGCTGAGAAACAGACAGACAAGCTAAGTGTTTATCAGTATCAACAAACTAAACAGAAAACCAAAGGCTCTGTGGCACCAAAATCCATTAGGCAGGGTGTAGTAGAAAACCGTTCCTTGAATGCATGTGATTTTATCTTCAGAAGAGTTGCCCAATCTGAAGCTACAAATGGCAGGATACTAAAAGTTAAACTGAATTCTTCTGTAAAATGGTGGAAAGTTCTCTGTGGTGTATTTTCACCAGGAGATGAAAATGAGAGATCAGGACGAGTCAGGGAAAGGTCCTAGTTATCATGCCAGGCTCTCAGTGGAAAGGTCTAGATGGGGGCACCTGGGTGGCTCAGTGCGTTGAGCATCTCACTTCAGCTTACATCAAGATCTCAGGGTCCTGGGATGGAGCCCCATGTCGGGCTCCCTGCTCAGCAGGGAGCCTGCTTCTCCCTCTCCCTTTGCCCCTGCTCCTGCTATCTCTCTCTCCGTCAAATAAATAAATAAAAATTTTGCACATATTGCATGGAGAACTGGGTGTTATACACAACAATGAATCATGGAACACTGCATCAAAAACTAATGATGTATATGGAGACTAACGTAATGTAATTTAAAAAAAAAAAAAAAAAGGAACAGTCTAGATGGCCACACTCTGGTATCAATGTCAAATCAAAAGTCTATCAAGCCTTACAGGAAAGTCAGTGAATCTCCTACTCAAATCAGTCCAGATAAAGCCAACAAGGCCCCACTCCATCTTCTTAGTAGGAGAACCTAGAAACTTTTTTGTCTACGAAAATAATGTTGCCTAGAGCTTCAAACGTATTTTATAACTAATGACTTGCCTTCAATTACAGAAACAAACTGTCATTTCTACTAAGAGACAGAACATTTATGACAAAAAACAAAAGAAAAAAACATCATACAAAACAACAGAGGCAAAAACAAACAAACAAACACAGGCATTCTAGATATTGCAGATAGAAGCAAAGAAAGATGAAAAGAAAAATGTGAGTGATTTAATCAGAATAACAGAACCTATAAAAAAATCAGAAACCCTGGAACTGCAAAATAAAATAACCAAAATTGTGAACTGAACAGATGGATTTTATAGCAGATTAGACATGGCAGAAGACCGTATTAGTGAACTATAAAATAAGGTCAATAGACAATACACAAACTGACACACAGATGGGAACAAAGATTTCAAGGACTTCTGTGAACTCCGAGTAGAATATTTAAAAAGAAAACTGGACCAATGAACATAAAATTCAAACTGCTGAAGGCAAATAAAGCAAACAAAAGGCAGCCAAAGTTAAAAGAAAATATGCCTTTAAAAGAGCAAAAATACAACCATAGGTTAGTTTGTAAATAGGTATTATGAAAGCCCAAACACAATGAAATGTGTTTCTTCATTTTATTTTTTAGCTTTACTAAGGAATAATTCAAAGTTAAAAATTATATTTAAGGTGAAATAAAGAAAGAATACGTTATCTAACACTTCCCTATTCTAGGTAACAAAACAAAAAAGACCAAGTATTAGGTAAAAACGCAAGTGAGATTCAAAATAACAAAGAAATGAAGAGGGATTTAGTCTAACAGGGCTTAGTCAAAATCTGTTTTTTCCATAATCATTCCTGAAAGTAAAGAGTTTCATCGACGTGGAGAGAGACGGACACTTGCACCCATGAGCGCACACCGTGGCATCCGGCAGCGCGGTCCATCCCTGCAGGCTGCAGCGGGGTCTGGCGGGCACCACTGGCCGTCAGGCGGCTGACACAGGTGCACAGGACTGAGCACGATTTCTGGACTCACCCAGACTGCTCTTCTGCCTTTGTAGCTCTGTAGCCATTTTTTCAAATTTCTTCTGAAGCCTTTTATCGTGTTCCGGTGTTTTAGGAATAAAATCTTTGGGCTGCATACACTTCCGCTGTGCAGAAAGGACATAAAAATGAATACTATTGAGCAGCAGCTGTGTAACAAGACAACCTGTTCCCGACGCTTCTAACACCTGTTACAACACTGCAAGGAAAACCTGCGGACAGAGGCATTCCTCGCGCTGCATGTGAAATGGCAGTGTCTCTTTCCTTCCAGGCTGCAGAACTGAAAGACTAGATACAAGACCATACACCAAGGAGCTACATTTTCTGAGCCATTTCCAGGATGCCAGCAATCTTAGTTTCCAGGAAGGTTCTTAAACAAAATTAGTCGTTTAGTCGTTTTCTTTATTTTTGTTACCCTTACATTATCTCTCCTCTTTCCCCCTCCCCCAAATCATAACATGGTAACAGAGTACAAAAGCAATTATTTTCTAGCTACCAAAGAAAGAAACAAGATTGAATCCTGCTTTGTCTTTAAATCACCGTAATTCTATTCTGCTAGTAAAACCCCAAAACTCAAACTACACAATCAAGGTGTGACAAACAGGATGAGGCCGCAGGCTAACATCCAAAGAACGTCTTGGGTTAACCCTCCCACGCCCATTCCTGTGTTCTCGACTGAGCATCTCGCTCTCATTTATTATTTAACAGAAATGTGTGTGTCAGGCACTGGTCTTGGAAAAAAGAAGATTCTTGATAACAGAAGCTTATCTCTATTAAAGAATGACAGAAAATTAACATCACTAATAAGTAAAATAGAGGCTATGTGTGTCAGGAGGGTTAATTCCAGCAGGCCTGGAACTGGCCTGAACTGTTTTCCCCCTAGTACAAGCACAGCAAGCAATGTCCTACTGCACAATGTTGCTTTGTAACCGCAAGTCCAGAGCACTTGGGAGCATTTGCACTCCCAGGGCTGGTCAGCTCCCAGTGGGAGGGCTCTGCTGTTGGCGGGGGGGAGGTAATGTGCTGACATCAGCACGACCCATGAGTCTCCCCTACGACTCCCTGGTCCCAGGGTGCTCCCCAGACTCTCAAGCATTATCCTTTAGGGTCCCGTGAATCTTCATTAGCGACAACCCTGGCTGACTGCCACCATCATTACAGTACGTCAGAAAGGAGTAAGTCCTGCAGATAGAAAGGAAAGCAGCAGACGAGTGGGAGCAGGACAGCTGACACAGTGGGAAGGAACCACTGCTGTACACAGGGTGGTCAGAGGGGGTCTCCCCGAGAAAGGAATGGCACAAAGCCCTACTCAGGTTAGAAAAAGGGGAACATGCATGAAGTTTGGGGAAAGTGTGTTCCAGATAGAGGGAACAGATATGCAATGCAACGGCTCTGAATTACAAATACGCTTGGTGACTTTCAGAACAGCAAGCAAGAAGGTCAGACTGGCAACAGAAAGAATGAGGGAGAGTAAAGCTGAGAACCTTGTCAAAGAGCCCAAAATAATAACAGTCTGAAGTCATGTTCACTTCGCAACTGCACTTGAGTGAAGGCCTACATTTGTCATGAAATGGTCAAACACACACTGTTATGAGAAGAAGAAAAAAAGCATTATCTCCCAGACAATACATGTAACACAGAACCTCATTTGTACAAAACGTGTGTGTGTGTGTATGCGTGTGTCTGTAATGTATGTGTCCTGAAGACCATCTGATCTTCAAGGACCCAACTCAAACCAAAAACTGCTTATTTTGAAGAAAAAGACATTAAGAGAGGTATCTGCCTTATCTGTGTTTACTCAATGTTTTACGATGGAAATACACTCCTTATTAGTGTGTTTTTAAAATAAGTCCTTTACTTCTAAAAGGGTAGACACAGCCACTGCTTGGCGTATCAGAAAGAGTAAGGACTTAGAAGCTCTAGTTCACCTCTAATCAAAGGGGATCTGAACAGAGACTTGAGTTTGTCCATCACTGCCCTGCAAATATGGCCCGTCCAAGAGGAAATGTCTGAGATACAGGAGTCACCATTTACAGAAAATCTGCGACCCCCCAGGGGAATGTCTTCCTTAACCTACAAGAAATGGGTCTAGTCTTTCTAAGTCAGTTTGGACAAAGTCTGCAAATCTCCTCCCCAACAGGGACCCTCACATGAAAACAAAGCAACACTGACCATTTCCTAGAAAACCTTTTTCCCACAAATAAAGAAATCACAATTAAAACTTTTAAATAATAAAAGAGTGAAAATGTTGTGGATCAAATGTGAACTAGACCTCAAAGGAAAGCCGTGTCTTTAAGTCTGCACTGTGGATTTCCCATAATGAATAACTTACTCAATAAATAACTTGGATATTTCTGCATCAGACTTGAGAGATTTTCCAACTAAACAGCAGAACAGAGGTATTTTGCTACAGATGTAACAAACCAAATTCTGAAGCAGTTCGCAGTGCACCTGCACGTCTGCTGGTCTCTTGGCAAATTTTAGTTTTCCACTGGCCAGACAGAGCTCTTCCACTTCCCACAAATCACATCAAAGCACTCAGAGGGTACACTAAAGTCTATAACTTTCTTAAAAACCCCATGTGGAGAGAACAGTATCATCAACTCCAATACCTAAGACACCTCTTGAATAAATTCCACCAAGTGTCACTTTGCAGGAATAAAAGAACGAATAAATTCCGCAACAGCCACTGTCGAAATCACATACTTACTTTTTTTTTAATTAGGCTCGGCAGGTGTTCCCTCGTGTTCGCCGCAGGGAAGAGCGCTTCATCGACGTGTGCCCCGGCTGTCCGGCACCTGTGTAATTCAACGGACCGAGCAGAATGAGCACTCGTTCCTGTTAGAGTCACACAGCACCGCACCGGCACGTGTGTCGTTAGCAATTTAACAGATGCAAAGGCCACATTAACAGGTGTGACTTTTAAAGTAACTACATTTATAATGAAATACAAAGCGCAATATAAATTCAACTTTCCAAAATGGTTTCTCTACAGTGTTTTAAAGCGTACGAGTAGAACCAAGAGGCAGGTAGGGAAGCAGTTTTTACACAACTTTAGGCTTGTGACAGCCTTCAAACTACGAATGCGGGGCGTACGTACGGTATACGCACACGCGGTTAACCCAACAGTAGAAGAGCAAGCAGGACATACGAGGAGAAATCTAGAGCTAGGAGGGCCTTAGAGAAATTTGGCCAGGAAGATTATCTTGTCCCTAAAACTGGTGTTTCATCAGAGAGCAGGGTGGGCCACACCAGCTTCTCCCGGCCATGCCCCGTGTACCTTAACTGTCTGCCTGCCACCAGTCTGTCATTTCCACTCTCACTAAGCCGCCCGTCACACTTCTCTGTCTTGGGAATCCCAGGACCTACTTCTAAACATTCAGACGCTCAAATCTAAACAATTACAATAATTTTCAAAATGATCTCCTACCTATAGTTCCTACTCTTCTCATTCATATTATTACTGAAAGATTAAGCTTAAAACATTTTATTCATCTCTCCAAAACCCACATCACAAGCCTTCAATCACTCTTGTGTTTATAGAATAATCTCACCTACCTGTTGTTTCAGTCTTTTTAAAATATGGCCCCTAAACACATCTCCAACTGTATTTCATAAGCCTGTCATGTTCAACATTCAGTATGCAAATGACAGTTGAAAATATAATTGGAATATAATGCAAAAAAGAATAGGGCAAATATATCCATATTCACACAGAAAACTCTTAAATACATTAAGAAAAAAGACAAAACTGCAGAAATGTGAACATGATGCTATATGCTGTATATTAATACAGCATTTCTCATTTTAAGCAAAGTCTGGAAGATTACACACCAAACTGACAATACTATGTGTCACTAGGCTAATGAATCTCAAAGTGTAGTTAGAAGACCCTAGGGTCCCTAAGCCCCTTCCAAGGACATGTGAGGTCAAAATTTCGTATCACAAGAAGGCTTCCTTTGCCTTTTTCATTTCTCTCTCATGAGCACACAATGGAGTTAAAGCTAAGTGACGTGTGTGTGTGTGTGTGTGTGTGTGTGATCTCGATACACTGTGGACGCAAACAGAACAGCGCAACTGTCTTTATTAAGCCAGCCATGAAAGAAGTTTGCAAAAAATGCAAAAATTAAAAAACAACCACAGCACAATAATTACGATAAGAGAACAACAAGGTAGGGCAGAAGCTGGAGAGAGCACAAGTGATACTACGGGGGTCGGAGTGGGAGAAGCTGCAGGTGGGAGGTGACCGTCAGATAAATTCTGATGAGGAAGCAGATTCAGAGGATGCAGGTCTTCCGTCTGGAAGACGAGCACAGACGAAGGCGCAGCAAAGCCAACAACAGCATGACAATTCTGGGAAAACAGACACCACTTGGTGGGACTGCAGTGAACGCACTGGAGCGAGGGTACCAGGGACAGAAAAGGGTCACACGGGTCGCCCTGAGGGCTGTATCTGGGGGGAGCCTGGACAGGCCACTCTGCGGGATGTTTTCCGGGAGTGGGACATGAGGGCAAGGAGTCCAGTCAGAGACTGGGGGTGGGAGGTGGGGGGACAGGAGATGCTACAGGTTTCATCGAACCTGTGGGACTGGGTGGAGAACCTTGAATGAGCAACATTTAGAAATAAAAATGGAATGTTCTTGAGCTCTTGTTACAACTGGTGGTCTGAGCACATATGTTTTTCTCTCCTACTCCCAAAACCCCATTCAAATGACAATAAAGCAAAACAAAATGACACAGACCAACAGAAATGAAGAGTAGATAAGAGATGTCTAGGGAACTGAAAAGCAAATACAGAAAAGGAAACCCGAGCCTGAAAGCTGGATGAGGGAGGCCAAGGGACTGAACTCCTCTCCTCACACCTCAAGGGCTCCAGCAACAAGGACAGGTCTGAGGAGCAGCAACTGCACCCCCAACTGTGCCCACAGTCAGGGCCACTGCACCCCACTCGCTCCAGCCACCAAAGCAGGTAACGGGCTCGGATTTCAGACAACTTGGACCAGCGACGCACTGGAATCAAGGATACCAGGCTGAGTTCAGGTAGCACAAAGTTTCACACAAAAGGAAACGTGTTGTGTGCATTTTCAGATTCAGCTAAAACGACTTTCCCAGTCATAACAATGTAAAGCAAAACTGCTGATTTAGCTCATCTGCTGCTGATTTTATTTATGGAATCAGGAGAGAGGCAGTGTGGGTGCAATGAACAGGTGCACGTACATGCGTGGGGTCCCCCAGAACACAGCGCTTGGGGAGCTAAATTTGTGTTTGCAAACTACAAAGTCTAGACAGTGCTGGAAACTGGGAAGTCAAGGCAGCAGCAGAACCATGGTAAAAAAAAAAAAAGGGAATTCAGAGGTCAGGACAGAGCTGCAGCAAGAGGGGCAGGTGGAGAGGCGTTACCCCTGGGGCGCAGGAACTGGGGGGAAGGGGCGAGAAAGGGACCACTGTTTCACTACAAGCCTTGTAATAATAGCTGACTTCTCTCTTTCCTGTGTGTGCGGGGCCCTCTCTCCATAACAGGATGGGAACAGGAAACGAGGCATTCTGATTCAAAGGGCTCCGGCTGGCACAACAGGGAAAGAAAGGGCACCTAAACCAAGACAGAAAATGAAGTCAGGACGCAGTTAAGAGAGGACACAGCAAGTTCAGGCCTGGGCCTAGTTACACTCAGGTGCTGCGCTTTACCCACAAGAATTCACCCAGCAGAGCCCCACGTGTAGGGCTGACACTGAGAGGGCACACTGAGAACAGAGACAGAGACACAGTAAAATTCAAATCCCTTCCAGGGCCCTGCAGGAGCCTGTCCCTGCCTCTAAGCTTCCTTTCCGCAGAGAGCCTACCACTGATGCTCGCAGGCCCTCACACACACTGGCATCACCCCGTCACACACCACGACCTCCTACTCCTCAGAAAACTGGCCCCCCAAGTCTCTGAACACCTAGTTCCTTCACGTCATCTTCACCTCAGCTCACAGGTCACCCACTGCAAGGGGTCTCCCCAGCCACTGTGGAGAGGAGGGTCAGGAGGGTAACCAACGCCAAACGGGCGCTGTGGCTACGCCCCTCCTGTTCCCTTCGGAGGATTCACCAAACCCCGCACTTAAAAAACCTAGTTTCATTAAAACTAAGTTCCACGAGGGGAGTGAATATGCCTGTCTAGTTATGACAGTCATGGCCAGGCCTGGCAGAGAGTAAGTACTCAAAAGATATTTTCTGAAGGAGCAAAGGTCTTCACTGTAGAAAGAAACACTTTGACCTCATCTTAAACACACACACACACACACACACACACACACACACACACACACACGTGCACACACAACTAAACATAAAGTCCAAAACCATAAATCCTATTAGAAAGTGGAAGAAAAGATTCACAATTTCAAAGTAAGCCAAGACATTCAGACAGAATATCAAAGACACAAAGCATAAAGAAGAAAATGAAAAACTGCACCTCAACAAAATAAAAAACTGGTGTGTTCTGAAAGACACAACAAAGAAAATGAAAAGTCAGCCATAGACTGAGATCAGATATTTACAGTATGTGTATTTGACCAAAAATATTGATATGAATAATGTATAAAAATAGCCTGTAAATCAATATTACAAAGACAAAAACCCAACTTTTACAAATTGGCAAAAGATTTAAATCAAAGACAGTCACTAAGCATGTGATCTTACACTTAGTAAAAGTCATCAGGGAAATACACACTAAAGCCAGAGGGGATCCTCAAATATATGTTTGGGTTTTTTTTGGTTTTTTGTTTGTTTTTTAATTTTAAGAGAGAGAAAGAGGGAGAGTGAGCAGGGATGGCGGTGGGGGAGGGGGGCAACATCTCAAGCAGACTCCCTGTCGAGTGCAGAGCCTGAAGCAGAGCTCACAATCCTGAGATCACGACCTGAGCCAAAATCGAGAGTCAGACTTACCCCACTAAACCCCCAGGAGCCCCTGGTTAATTATGACAAAAGTCACTGGGAAAAAATCATCTTTTCAACAATGATGCTGGGACAACCACATACCACACAAAAAAGGATGAAATCAGACCCCTACCTCATACCATGCACAGAAACTAACTCCAAATGGATTAAAGATCTAAACTGTCAGAGTTAAAACTATAAAGTTCTCAAAAGAAAATATAGAAGTAAATCTTCCTGATCTCAGATTTGTCAACAGTTTCTTAAATAACATCAAAAACATAACAAGAAATAAACTGGACCTCATTAAAATTAGAACCCTTTGCTTCACAGGAAACTGCAATGGACATATAAAAACCCAAAGAAATGGGAAAAAATATTCACAAATCATACGTGATATGGATAGATGCGATCTAGCCATACAATGGAATATTACTTGATAATTTAAAAGGGGCGCCTGGGTGGCTCAGTGGGTTAAGCCGCTGCCTTCGGCTCAGGTCATGATCTCAGGGTCCTGGGATCGAGTCCTGCGTCGGGTTCTCTGCTCAGCGGGGAGCCTGCTTCCTCCTCTCTCTCTCTGCCTGCCTCTCTGCCTGCTTGTGATCTCTCTCTGTCAAATAAATAAATAAAATCTTTAAAAAAAAAAAAGTGAAATTCTGGTACACGCTATAACATGGAAGAATCTCGAAAACATTATTTTAAGAGAAAGCAGGCAGGCAAAAAGACCGCACGTTGTATGATTCCACTCGCATGACATGTTCACAAGAGGCAAATCCCTGGAGACAGCAGATCAGTATTTAACCTGGGCTGGTGGGTATGGAGGGTGATGTAAAGGGTACAAGGTTGCACTCTAGGGTGATAAGAATGTTCTAAATTATGTTGGT